TTATTATAAATGTATTTATAATTTACGCTTATTTGTTAAATAAATTAATTTAACATGAATTATTTTCATGACAAAGCATCAAATGTGTTGAGTGTGCAATAGCACAGCTATAAGCATAAATTAAATTAAATTTAAATAAAAATAAAAAATATAAAAGGAAATTAAATTAAATGTTACATTATGCAATAGAGTTATCAAATACATATATATATAAATTGATGTATAATACCATGAAAAAAAAAAAACTAAATCCATGGAAATTTTTCAATTTTGAAAAAAAAAAAAAATTTCACTAATTAAATTGTTTAATTAGCAAATGCAAATGGACAAAAAGACAGATTCGAATAAAAGTTATAGTGTAAAAAAAAAAAAAAAAAAAAATCACCCTATTTTTTATGAATTAAAAAAAAAAAAAAAAAAAAGAACTTCAGCATATAGATTTATATTGGGTGGGCAAAAAAAATTTTATGAGTTGAACAGTCGCGAGCAATAACCCATAATTGAATTATCGATTACTGCGCTACTTATACTAATTAAATGGGCTAAGTGCGTTTTATACGCTGATTATCAAAAGTTTCTGGAAGTTTAGTCGCTAAAGCCCAAAGAAGGTCAAGACTTAAAGCAGCATTTCTTAACCCTCAGCTTAACCCACAAAGAAATTAAATATAAATTAATCAAGTGAAACATTCAATTACTCCTTAATTATAACTTGCCTGTTTATATTCAAATACAATAGGTGCTGCATAATGGATAAATAAATATACAGTATTTACATAAACATACATATGTACACATAGAACCACATGTTGCACATTTTACCAGCTGAGCAACTTACATATGTAGCTAAAACCTTAACAGTACCTGTTGTTAACATATGTCGTTACTAATGTTAACATTTGAACACCTCCTTAGCTTACACGAGCTGACTGCTATGCTGGGCCCTAATGGAAAAAATAACAGCGGCATGTGTTAACAGCGCTGTTAAATAATTTAGAATTAGTATTTTTTTAGTATTTTGGCACGTTCTTTTTGGGATTACTTACAGTGCATTTTGAGTTTCGGTTTCTGTTTACCATATTTCGGTTAGTCATATTATATATTTAGTTAAAATTAAGTGAAAAGAACTTCACTATTTATTTATTTCGACGTAKTAACTTTAAGCAAGTAATAAAACAACAATGCAGGTAAGATAACTGCCAGAGCAACACAATTAGTATCAACAATTAATACTTTCTGACGTATGTATATAAATATCTTTATGCATGTGCATTCTCTTATCTCCATATTTGGTAAAAACCAAATCAAAACGCAACGCATGAGTGCTTGCTATACAAATTCTAAATGAAAACTAAAAGAATATATACTTGCTATAGGACCCAAATGAAGATACCGAATGGAATGATGTGCTGCGCGCTAAGGGAATCATTGGACCCAAACAAAAGGAGGCAGAGATCACAGAAGATCAAATCCAGGCCATGATGAATGATGTCATTCAGCGAAGGACGGATTTGCCTCCACAAGAGGGTCAGCGCGACAAGCTGATCGACGATATGTCACTGGATGAGCTGGACGAGCTCGAGGACTCTGAAGACGAGGCTGTACTGGAACAATATCGACAACGTCGCATCGCCGAGATGCGGGCATTAGCAGAGAAGCCACGGTTCGGCAGCGTGCGTGAAATCTCTGGCCAGGATTATGTCAATGAGGTGACAAAGGCTGGCGAGGGCATTTGGGTGGTGCTGCATCTGTATGCCAATGGTGTCCCGCTCTGTGCCCTCATCCACCATCACATGCAACAGCTGGCTGTTCGCTTCCCGCAGACGAAATTCCTGCGCTCCATTGCCACGACCTGCATACCCAACTTCCCTGAGAAGAACCTGCCCACCATTTTCGTATACCACGAGGGTGCCATGCGTAAACAGTTTATTGGACCCATCGAACTGCGTGGCGAGAAGCTGACGCTCGACGAGCTGGAGTTTATGCTGGGCCAAGTGGGCGCTGTGCCCACTGAAATCAAGGAGGATCCCAAGCCACAAATCCGAGATAAAATGTTAGCCGATTTGGAGGACAAGAGCTCAGAGTTCTTTTAGATCTCATTCTATGCTAAGAGAACAAAGAGCATGCCAAGTCACAAATCAGGAATAAGATAAGCTCGGAATTCTTTCAAAAAAAAAAAATAACTTCATTCTACTTTATGTCATGTGTTAAAAAAAAAAAATTTCTTTTTGCAGTACAATCTAAATCCTTACTCGATCTTTGTGCATTTGTTAACATAATAAAAAATAACAATTTTTGCTACCAAAGCTTCACTTGTTGTGCGACTTCGCAATGCTCGTTGAGGATTTGGTCGTGCCCTTCGGTTTGCTGCGAAAGATGTTCGGATCGAGAATATTGTAAGGATGCTCGCAAGCGGGATTGATTGTGCGTCCACGTCTCGGTTCATTTTTCTCCAGCAAATGCGGAGCTAGCAGTAGAAACAGCTGCTCCGTCCACGAGGGCAGGCCAAAGCTGGAGAAGCACAGCTCCCAGTAGGGCAAACCCAAATGCGCAATGGCCATGCGCAGATACTCGCTGAACGTCTCGGACAGGAACTGCCAGGTCAGCGTGTTTAGCTCCAGCAAATAAAACTTTGGATTATTCGAGCTGGTTGAATCATACAGCATGCAAACCTGCAAATTGATGAATCATTTATATTTGATAAAAAAAATTCATTGTTAGATCTTAGCTCACCTTAGCCACTTCATTGATATTGTTAATTTCGAATATTTTAGTCTTGGCTGTAATGATGGGCAAGGGATTATCCCATTTGTCCTTGGGTATCGGGGCAGTCACTGGCGCCGAGCTGGTCGAACTTGTTGAGGAAGCGGAAGGGGTAACCAGTGGAGTGGTCTCGATATTCTCACGCAGCAACGTCACCTGCAGCAGGTGCGGAAAGTGTATATAGCCGACTCGACGCACATCGGTAGCTAATGGAGATTTGTATATATATATCATCTGTTATATATAATCTCTTCACTTACGCGAATATTGATAGCTCCAATGCAGCACAAAGCCATCGGTGGATAGGTAAAACTTTTTCATGTCCTCTGGCAGGTAGACACAGTGCCTCTGCTCCCAGTTGACCACCTGGCAGGGATTCAACGGCTGCCGACGCTCCAAGCTCACATTGCAGACGCGTGGCACAGATGCTAAAATTGGTTAAATATAGTTTAGGCTATATCAAATACGCTCGCACCACTCACATAGAGTTTTGATGAGACCCAGAGTTAGGTTCTCGTAGAAAGCGTCTTCCAGTGAGATTTTCTTATGCATTTTGCCTGGCTTATATAAATAGTCAAATAGTAGTTTGTAGGCAAGTAAACAATGCCTGCCTGGTCGGTGGTTACGCTGGCAACGGAGTCGCGCCTGAGTGGTTTCTATGGCCGCTTATGACTGTAGCTCCACATATATGGCTTAGAGAGTTAATTCAGAATGGCTTAAACTGAATTTGTATCAATTAAATTTTAGATCGTATTACACTGTAAATTGACGCTATACAATTTGGTCCAAATTTACAACTGGAGAGTAAACTACTTGATCATAAATTTAAATAGGATTGTGAATGTGATTATATTATTATATTTTAATGATATGTAAAACGCATGGCAGACTTTTTTATACCCTGAACCCATTGAAAATGGGAAATCAGGGTATAATGGTTTTGTGAAAAAGTATGTAACGGGCAGAAGGAGGCGTGGCAGACCCCACAAAGTATATATATTCTTGAACAGCGCGACGAGCTGAGTCGATATAGCCCTGTCCGTCTGTCCGTCCGTCCGTCCGTCCGTCCGTCCGTCCGTCCGTCCGTCCGTCCGTCCGTCCGTCCGTCCGTCCGTCCGTCCGTCCGTCCGTCCGTCCGTCCGTCCGTCCGTCCGTCCGTCCGTCCGTCCGTCCGTCCGTCCGTCCGTCCGTCCNTTTTTTTTTTTTGAATAGTCAGGTCTGCTCGAGGTCAGGAGACCGTAGACTGACTGACTACATTTGTTTATTTACTTCTACACTATTGTCAAAACTGTCACTGTTACCAAGCCTACTGGGTATAAAAAAAATTTGAACATTTGGGGAAAAAACCGCGTTTTTCAAGTATTCGGCAAATTTTTTCAGTATTTTTAAGACCCTATACTAAACTCGTTGCGGAGACAAATCCAACAAATCAAAAACCATGAAAATTGGTTCAGCCCAAATCAAGTTATAAGCAGTCTTCACTTTTACACAACTTTCTTTTATATATATAGATAACGATAAATATAAATGCTGGAAATTTTATAATTAATATAACTGCAATTTATTTATATATAACACATTTACAGCAATTTATATACAGAAAGAAATTAGAAACACAAAAAACTATACATATGTGAATTAAATATGAGTTTGGAAATATGAAGATGGTAACGAATATTTACGCAGAATAAAATATAAGAGTGAGGGTGTGAACTGTTTTCGAAGAGTTAATGAAATCGAGTCACATTTGATTTGTTTCATCTCTTTGCTTGCTCAGGGGTCTCATCGGCCTCCTCTTCATGTCAGGAAACCTCCCACACTGTGGACTCCACCGAGCGGCGCGGCCGAGCGGCAACCTCGACGTGAGCGTCCAGGCCGTCGCTCAAGCGACTGAAGCGACGCGCCCAGCTGCCACGCGCTGTGGACTGGCTGCCGGCTATAGAGGTGCGTTGGGTGGCGTCGCGGAACAGGCTCATGATATCCTGATTGTCGCCCTGGGCACGCTTGATGCCGTGCTGGTATTTGGCCTCTTTGGCAAGCAGCTGCTCGCGCTGCATTTGGGTCTTTACCTCGGATGGCACGTCGGGTATGATGAACTGCATGATGCCCGTTAGCACAAACACCACATGCTGTCATGGAACGCATACAGACATAATTTAATGTAATGCCCCTTCACTTGTAATTTGATTAATGTACCTCGAATACCACAACAAAGGCCAGCCGTGCGGCAAACACGTGCCAATAGTGGGGGCTCAGTCCATAAGGCTCGTAGTCCTTTGGCCCGTTGCTATCAAAGTATGTCAATCGTGCATAGAATGTGTCTAAGAGTCCATTAATAGCTCACTTACCGATAGCCTCTGTACTGGCAGGTATCTGGATCGCGTTCGCTGCTCGTTGCGCCCCACTCCTCCTTGTAATCGGACGTATTGAATATGGACAGCGAGTGCTCTATGTAGCCGGCCAGCGTGTGGGATTCCGAGTAGACGAACTTGTAGACGACGCGCGGTATAAAGTCACTCGTGTAGGCGATCACGAAGGCATTCGATACGACAGCCGTGTAGGTGATTATGCGCAGAATTCCATACCAGGCACCAATATCCTCCACACGCTCGGCCAGGGGCCGCCTGGCTTGCGTGACCATCTTGTAGGCATCCAAACGTATCTCGGCCACATTGTTGAGCAGCGCAAAGAGCGGCGCCAAGGGGAATGCGGCCACAAACAACGTGACGAAGCCATATTGTAGTACTATATTAGGGTATAAAGGGGCTTAGGTTTTGTGTAGTCTATAATAATTGATTACTTACTCATTTCTAGGTACTCATCAAAGAGTGCCAAGCGTCCTGGATCCTGCATGTGATAGTCCTGCTCCCAAGCCATATGCAAATGCGATTCATCTTTTGTAGCCTGTAAAAAAGCAAAAGCTGGGTTAGTTCTATATTCCCTCAAACTGTCCCTTAAATAGACTTACTTGTTTATGCTTTCGCTGACGCCACCAATTCCAAAATTTGGGAAACAAATATTCCATAAAGTTGTTCCAGCACTGTTTGCCCACCATAATGATAGCCTAGAAACAAATAATACACAATTATGTAGGTATATTTAGCAGATCAATTGTAACAAATTTTTAAAATTTGAAATTTGGAAAATTGAAAAAAAAGATATATATTAA